ATTATACAGTTGTTGCTTTCGATTTGTTTGGTTTTGATGTATCGCTCTTTTAGGAAAGGGTATGCAAATGCAATACAAAGATGGTCGAACAACGATCACTTGCCTGAGTGAGTCTCCATTGTTCGTACAAGCTCCGCTACATGCTAGACGCCTGAATGATGATGCGGCCACAGTTTATCGATTATCAGGTGTTGCTGAAGGCGATGATGTCAATAGTGAGTTCGTGATCATTTCAGCGGTCTTCAGACAAAATTGCTCCACTTGTGGAAGTGCAAGGCGGTGTTGAACGGTTCTTCTGAAAATAGATATTGCTCGCCGGCTCAATGTTTGAATGGCAAATTAATTAAATGGGGAACACGTATTCAGTCCATCTTTAGAGGAAAGTGTCCAAAGCAAAGCAATTCTGTTCACATCTGCATTAATATATGAAGCAGTACTTTTGAAGAGAGTCCGGCAGACAGCCGGTATTCGAGTTCACACCTTAAGTTCGTTCTATCAAAAAAGCAAAAATAATGTTTTGTATGCATCTTGACTATTCTGACTGTTGCAATTTTCAATGATCGTAGTTTAGGTCGAACAATCGATATTTTCGATGAACTTCTGTTTGAGAAGCTACTCGAGGAGGCACGACAGCAAGGTTATCGTCATGTGTATGCACTTCAGGTTCGTTTAGGCTATTTCTCGCTGTCTATCCATTGAGGTATAATAACAGAAACATTTTAGTATAAATTTGTTAGTATGGGCCGCAATTTATCCATATATCCAAATTTTGAATCGAGATTTAGTGGAAGAGGGGTTTACTTTGATAAGTTTCCAGCAAATCTCGGGACTTTCGAAAGAGGTTTGATGATTATGTTGTGATTTCTCTAATTTGTCATTTCAGAGCTTATGTATATGTAGAGTATCGTTCGTAAAAGGTTTCGGTAAAAGTTATCGACGAATGACTATACTTGAAACTCCTTGCTGGATTGAGATTCACTTCATGAACTATCTTCAGAAGCTTGATGAGGTTAGCTTTCAGGTTTAACTAAGCCTTTTTGAACTCTTATTGAATCCTCTACTAATTGTGTTGAATAGTTTTCTCGTTTTTTTGGATGCAAGCATGCGTGCCTCTTTGGAGGCGTAGGAAGTAGTCTCCCAGTCCCCGGAGGAACCTATAGGATTATATGACAATGTGGAGTACCCTCCATTTTCGAAAATCGGATATATCAGTTGATCGAGAGAACCAGTTCTCGTGCTTCATGTGGGGTAGAATTCCACGTGCTCACTCAACCACCCTCTTCTAACCCTTCTAATGAACGAGTCATGACCACCCAACCAATATTATGAGGCTGTCGAGGAGTAGTATTTAGTAGAACTCCCTTGCCCGTTTCATTCACCTCCGTGAACTTATCAACTGCCTCTTCCTCAAAGTAGCTTGTAGCCATACCCATAGCCTATTCAGAGCTTTCAAAGTATTGAGCAGGACCATATGTTGAATTGAATTTGTTTTTAAGGTTCTTTCAACGCTGCCAACACCTGCACATGATATACATAGCTTTTCATAAAGAAGCAATACAAATTCGCTAGTGATTGTATAGTGGTGCCTATCAAATTCACCAATTAGTCGTTTCCATTGTTGTGATCGAAAAACTTGTCATAGATTTTCACAATGTATAGCTCACAAGGTGGGCTTAAATAGTAGATTTGTATAGGGTTTTTGTTTGACAAATGTGATGAATGTGTTGTACAGAGGCATTTCCGTGTATGGATCATGTATTTCTCTAATTTTCTTTTGAGCTTTTTATACGATTTTACATCTTATCCAGTATGAGCGATGCAGAAATGCTTTATTACAAAACGATGGCTAGTTGGAAATTGAGAGGTTATTGTAAAATTTTCTGAAGTATGCTCTTAAAATTTATGCAGCGATGTCATTTGGTTCGAATTCAAAGTCGAAGAACAGTTTGACAGCGTCGACTTTCGTAGCTTCCTTTATGCCTTCATAGATTATCTAAACAATTGATCAGTGGAGGTTCAAATGGTACTTCGAGTTTTTAGAGCCTAGAATCGTCTTGTTCCGAACAATGCTAGCAATTCATTTATTCAGAATCAATCTAGAGCCCTCAGAAACAGTGAGCCGGACATACTTTGCGGCTGGCTGCTTGTAGCAGCGATTTGATCAATAGTAATACATCATTGAAATATGTTAGTTAATAATTACCTCAACGTGGAAGTCATGAGTGGTACCATCGAGAGGGATTCTGCCAAAGTGTACTGTATCGAATCTGGATATCATTTCTTTGAGTGCATATCGCTCTTCAGGCGTAGGTTGCCAAGACGTTGGCAAGATTTCTGAAAGGCTTTCACTACCGTAGTAGTGCAGTTGAACGCTTTTCCGAAAGCTGTTATTCATCTAGATATTCCTAATGCCCTATGAACATTAAGGATGGGAGAGAATACTACAAAAACGTAAAGGGTACAATGAAATGATGAGTGGCGTGGAATATTTCCCTTCCGGTGGGAAATACGGCGTTACTGCCTACTCCTATCCCACCGATCTCTGAAACGACGGTTAACTGTAGGACAAATCTTTCCCCCTTACCCCCAGTTGACCGTCTTTTCAAAGTTCGAAGATATCCCCCACTGGTACTGAGCCCAACAAAGGCGATTCATTGGAAAATCACCTTTTTTCTCTTGTTCCTGCACTTTGACTTCAGCCATATTTTTACCAGCCGGTAGTCTCCCATTACGTTCTTTTGGAAGTTCCCTAAAAATGTTCATTCCATATGGGACCTTCAAAATCCCCCAAAACAGTCCGCTCCTCTTACCATACAGCGTTCTGCTCGCTTATCATTGCTGTCGTTCTTGACGATTCCGTCTCATCACCGAACAAGCGTCGAGCGGCTGCCCTCAAACAGTCTTACGGTAATCTCGCCACCTATCACTTGTTATGGGATTCGAGAGTAACAGAAAGTTCAGGAATGCAACCCACGAGGTGAAATGAAATCGGTTGAAAAACAACGACGCCAAGCATTCCATTCCAGCCTCGTCAGCCATTCGTTGCAAAATGTAAGCTTCATTGTTTGGGAGGCTTTGGATGTCGATTTGTTTGAGAAGGGTCATAGCCAACTGTAATGGGAGGCGGTCATTTGGCGCGATCCCTCCCATCGCGCCGCCCA